AGGATGTGGGTAGAAATTGCAGGATGCTCAAAAAATTATGGCGAGTCAGTTTTTTTTTTTTGGGGGTATTAATATGCGGTTACCTTTTCCGGGCCAACACCATAAACATATGGATCTCTCCTGCCGACTGAGTTCCACAAGGAAGTGAGAATGAATGCCCGCAGCTGATGAAATGCAAAATGCAAAAATTTTGATATGTGTATCGCAATAAAGGCTTTAACTATTTGGTGTTGGCATTAGGCGGCTGTGACAGGGAGAGTCATGTGTCCGTTCAAGAAGAGGGAGGAGACTCTCCACTCTCTTTCCTTTCCATTTTCCTTCACTTTTTATTTCAACCATCATATTGTGATTTTAACTGTCCAGATTTCATATTTTATAAAATTATAAACAAAATCTTAAATTTTTTAAAAAATGAATGAATAAAATTAAACTACTAAATTAAGAAATGAATCACCTCACTAGAATAAGGGACGTTTAAATAAATGCCTGTTTTGAATGATAACAAGACTCTTAAAAAGACAGTTTCTTAATTGTGATTTGTGCAATACAACGTAACGCTGTCTTGGGCCTGTTGGCTTCGACCCGGGGGAAAATGCAACAAGGCAAAGGCAAGGAACAAATGAAGGACTGGGCAAAAGGGGGAGCGGCCCAGATAGCCCGATCCCTTTCCCTCTCACTTTCAGGGGCCTGGCCTCTGTCTCGGCTTCCACAAAACCATAATTGTTCCGAAGTCACAGAGAAGCTCCATCATGCGACAACCTCGTGCTCCTCCCTCCGCCGCACAGTCGCAAGACTGAGATCCACTAAAAGCGATTATAGTAGTATTTTCCTTAAAGAAAATAATACTGGTTTAATTTCAAGTTTACAATGCTCAGGAGTCAAATGTTTCGAAAATAATTTGCGAAGAATGTGAAAGTTTGAAAATAAACATGTCAATATTATTTCTTTAGAAAACCTTATTTGAGGGATTATCAGGTTATTTTTGGTTATATATTTATTGATAATTGATATTGATCTTATCAAACAATGGAATGGAGGCCTGGCGCCCCTGGCCTAATTTCTAACACTAACGGTGGATAAAATTAATATTTAAAAACAGCAGCAGAGAAGACACGATATACTTTTTAGTTTTTACAGAAGGGTGGGGCGGTGGGGGCTGAGCGAAGTAGATCATAACGGATAAGGACGCAAACGCCGCCGTGGCATATCCCATAACATGTTAGTGGAGGCATCCAGCGTGTCAATACCCCCCATCATCTGTTCCTATCGGGGCGTGTGGCGCACGCGTGGCCTCCCTCAACTTCCCCCCTTTTCCCCTCTTCAACCCCCCAAATTATTATTATGTTTTGCTGCCTTTTATCTTTAATATAAAATTTTATTTATTTTTTATTTTAATCTTAAATATAAGACTTTAATTCATTTTATTTTTATATTTATTTATTTATTTTAAAATAGCACTTCTAATAAATGACAGTTCTAACCAATAAACTTGATTAGTAAGTATATTTTTTTAAAAAAATAATGTTTATTTATTATAAATAGTCAACTTAACTTACTATTTCTTTAATCTACACAAATCATTCAACTACAAGATATAAGAAACGGAGGTAGTACACTACGAAAATACAATGTTATGTTATTTCAAACCCCCCCCCCCCAAAAAGCTGAAGGATATGGTTCAAAATTAGAAAAATGGAAAATAAATAAGCATGACAAGATGACGATTTTGTAGGGACCATATCAAACGAAATAAAGAATTGCGTCTCAAGCTAGAAGTGACAACCCCTCTTTCTCAAATAAAATTAGACAAACCTCTAACTGGCCAATGGGAGGCTCATCTCAAATTCCCTGACCTGCTTCGCCAAGGCTACTTTTGTCCATAAATTGGGCCTTCCTGCTTCCGTATCGGATGTTCTTTCTTTCTGCCGCTTTGCTTGGAACCACGAAAATTAAAAAATTATTAGAAAAGCAAGCCCAGTTTAAAATTTGATCATTCGAGGATGCTGTAAGGAAACTTCCCCATCTTACCCCTGGCCCATCCGTCCATCGCATGAAGAAAGTGGAAACTCAAACGTGTAAGCTAACGTGAAAAGGAGTTCTTGCGTCCCTTCCCGGTCGCAACTCCACTCTCCAGACTCTCCAAATGCTTCAAAGGTCACGTGTCGGTCAGGCAAAGCCTTTACGCGTGTGGGACGAACGCTTCTCCAGAACCGTGTGGTAGGCGGAACTACACGTGTCCGGTAACCGACTGAGTTTACCGTTCTGCCCTCCTCCTCTGCTCTGACCCCTTATGTGGCGGTTCAACCCCCTCCCTTCCCCAATTTTGATCCCATCACCTCGACTTTGAAGAAACTGCAAGAGAATTCCTGAGCAAAAACCGCAGGAGGAACGCAGAGTGTCGTCTATTTGTCCTGACAAAACAACATTTAGCTCCAAGAGTTTCTGCAAAACGTTCAATTCTTGACGTTTCATCTGATTATGGTGGCTGAAGCAGACGTTGTTTATCAACAGAGCCTGCCTCTGTTGGATGTACAGTATATTCCCAAAGCAAGCAGTATTCATGAGATCGAAGAGCCACCCTTCGTCTCGCCATCATCCGGCCCTTCTGGTCCTGACAAACTTCGTGCATATGACGCAGTCTCTGCCCATTTACTGAATTCACAACAAGTGATTTCTTCAGCACCCTTCTCGTGTTTTCATCTATATCTTTCTTCTTTTCCATGACATGGACGTTAGCGAATTGTGAGCTAGTACTTTTGTTGTTTTTGCTTCCGATCGAAGGTGTTCACCACGTAGGTTTCGTTTCTAGTTTCTACCCCGTTCCCCTCGATTCCTTCATCAGGAACTTGTGCATATTATGAGCTTAGCTGATGAAGATACCTGAACTCTGCGAGGTTCATCTAGATTACTCCATGTTTGTTGTAGGAATACCATCCCTCCGGCACCTTTTCCTTCAGAGAGGCTTGAGCGACTTCCCGACTTGGTCCATGTAGTATCCGGTATCCGGTATCCTGTAATTGCTTATATCTGTTCATATCAAATTTATTCACTATGGTAATAGAAGTTGTGATGAATGTATGCGAGGGACGCGGTCCCGGCCTGCTTCCCTGCTTTTTAGGTGCCCAGATAGATTTTGGCACGCGGTATCTGTTGCTTACGAATGAGTGTTAAAAGATAGGTTTTCCCTGATTACTTTGTAAATGTTCGTGATTTTGCAACGTTACAAGAACTAGTATGTGACCCGTGCTACATTGTTAAAATTGAAATTATTTACTTTTGATTAGAGAATCGCAGGAAACTCCATGGGTTGTAGGACTGTTCAATGTGATGCATAAGTTATGCCAACTCTTACATAACTTCCTCCCATGCGCAGAGTAAAATTTTCTGATTCGTGTTAAACTACCCTTGTGCAGGACGTTTTAGCTGCAAAACAAGTCCCCCGTGCTTCTCTTGATTCTGCTGTTGTGCAGTTTGTGCCCACCATCCGTTCTGGTAGTTATGCTGACATTGGGCCGCGTAGATACATGGAAGACGAGCATATAATGATAGATGATTTGTCTTCTCACCTGGGATCACTTTATAAGTTCCCTAAACCCAGTGCATTTTATGGGGTAATCAACTTTTCAGTTTTTAGCTTGTATGTTTTTTAATTTCTTGTAAATGTTTTAAATCTAACTGGTGTTTAACGAATCACTAGGTGTTTGATGGTCATGGAGGATCTGAAGCTGCCGCTTATATTCGTAAAAATGTGATAAGATTTATTTTCGAGGACGCCAGCTTCCCACAGTCATCTGAAGCTGATAATGTTTTCCTACAAGAATTAGAGAACTCCCTTAGGAAGGCATTTCTTTTGGCCGACTCTGCTTTAGCTGATGATTGTAGTGTGAGCAGTTCGTCAGGGACCACAGCGCTTACAGCTTTAATATTTGGAAGGTATCCACGCGTTCCCCCCCCCCCCCCAAATTACCTTCTCCATTTGTCTAATGTGCTTGTTTCTCCTCTGGGTTTTTTGAGCTGCTCACCGTGAAGTTTCCAGGTTATATTCATCTAATTTTCGATCTACTGTGTAGTGTTTCCCACTATCAATATCTGTATTGCCAGTCGCCAGCTACTTTGCATGCTTAAAATTTGTTGCCTTGCTGATTACTTTGGTTCTAATTTCAGGCTGTTGATGGTGACCAATGCTGGTGATTGTCGAGCAGTTCTTTGCCGTAAAGGGGAGGCAATTGACATGTCTCAAGATCACAGGCCTATATATCCATCGGAACGGAGGCGCGTTGAGGAATCAGGTGGTTTCGTTGATGATGGTTATCTTAATGGGGTGTTATCAGTTACTCGAGCACTAGGGGACTGGGACATGAAGCTCCCACGGGGTTCTCCTTCACCTCTGATTGCAGAGCCAGAGTTTAGGCAAGTGGTTCTAACAGAGGACGACGAATTCCTCATCATAGGATGTGATGGAATTTGGGATGTTATGTCAAGTCAGCATGCAGTGAGTGTTGTCAGGAGAAGCCTGAGGCGCCACGATGATCCGGGAAGGGCGCCAGAGACCTGGTCATGGAAGCTTTGCTGCTGAATGCGTTTGACAATCTCACAGTAATTGTTGTGTGCTTCACATCCCCTGATCACAGGGAACTATCACCCGCCCACAGGTTGAGACATTGTAGCCTTTCTACAGAAGCACTTGGTAGCTTGAGGAGCTTGTTGGAAGGAAGTGCTAGCAACTGAATGAATGTATATAACAATGTCAGATTCTGGCATCTCGGATATTTCATTTTCTGTTTTTCAGCTGCTTCTAGTTAAGAGATCAGGAAAAACAGCAAACCATTTTTTGGTCCGACGTCGGTTGATGTAACATGGTTTAGGGTGTGGCTGACGGCGGTGTAAATATGAAGTCGAAATGATCCAGTTTTGTATGAATTTGTTTATTTTAGCGAATTTTTATTCTTGAAAACGTCGTTTTTATTCTCGCCTTGTTGAAAGGCGAACTGGTTGCAATATAGGATTAAAAACGTGGTTTGATTGAAAATAATATAGCAGGCGGTAACTAAAAAGGCCACGAATCGAAAGCAAGACATGAAAGAAATCAAACTCTATCTTGGGAAATCAAGAACAGATAACGGCAAACAAGTGAATAACTAAAAGGCCACGCATGATATAAATCAAGATTCGTCTTAAAGAAGAATGAGCTATTAGCATTCAAAAGACGCTTCGTCACTCCACGGCATGATCACAATCTCCTCTGGCTTGTCCAATTGTTTCGGGACCCATTCCCATTATGGAGACGCCTATGGATATAAATATAAATTCCCGGGAGCATTTGCAAGTGCAAACCTGATAGGGGGAAGAAACTATTCAAGACCTTGAGAGCAATTCTTATGCGTTATAGTTGTCATGAGCAAGATTACCTGTAAACATCAAGAAATAAGTAGTACCGAAAAGAAGGAGCCTTTACGGATTTCTGTCATAGCAAATGATTTTCTCCAGTGGATTTATCCAGAATCCAACCTAAATTTTTAAGCATGCTGAGCTGAAGCCAGAGCAAAAAGTAAAACTAACTTCATACTCTATTTAATGAATTTGAATGCAGAATTGCATTTTCCTTTGATCCCATAATTAAGCAGGAAAAGGGAAAAGTTAGAGCACATCTTTGTTGAAGTCTTGGGAAGCCAAGCAAATGGGTAGATGTGGCTTTGTGCTCTCAAGCTTAGGCATTCGTTTCAATGTTCCAATATACTCCCACCGGTTCTTAATATAAGAGTTTGTTGGACTTTTATTTTAGTTCTAAATATAAGACCTCAATCCACTTTGTCTCTCATATGTATTCATTTTTTTTCCAAAGCAGTCTTTATAATAGTGATAGTTCTAGCCAATACATTTGATTAGTAAAGATATTTTAAGAAAAACAATACTTATTTATTACAAATAACTCACCTAGTTAGTTTTCTTAATCTACTCAAGTTAGTCAACTAACTTTTATATAAGTATCAGAGGTAGTATAATAAGATTAGAATTTCCGTCAACAATAATAGGAAACTTTTTACTGAAAGTTAGCATGATAACTAAAATTTTTACGAAAATATAAAACAGTAGAAATTCAGGGGCGGATTTTAAAAAAAGAAAACTTTGAAGGTGTATTCCGGTGTCAAAGAAATAGGACAATCAAAATATAATAGGATGGTTACCATTTAGAAAGTCAGAAGGGCTCCGCCAGGCCAGGTGATTTAGTAGCTCTGTGCCAAACTAGCAAATCGTTCCAAACCACGTCGCAGTAAGCGCTCAAGAAATGGTTGCAGTGCCTGCAAAAGATATTATAGAGGGAAGAAAGTCGGAGTGGATTAAAGCCATATTTAAAATTTTAAATGTCAATCTCCTGTTTTTCCCATTATTCTCTCTCATGACACGGGGAAAAGGTGACGAAATGGCATGAACTAGAACAATGTCTTTCAGGTTTGTCTTACCACCTTCCAATCGCTAATTCTGCCAGCTACCAAAGACATGGATTTTCTCTTTGTATTAACTAATTGTCTACTTCATAACTTCATTTTATTTACGTCTGACTACTCACCGATGCCACGGGAGCTAAGAGTTGAGGAACTTCGTATGATACTGTCAGCTGAAAAGGACAAATGCAGCAATAAGTGCTTGAATAAAGTTTGGCCTAGTTGAGATGTAAAACAGATGGAGAAGAGTCAAAGGGCTAAATATAATGGAAACGTGTTGATAGGAACAAATACAGGAAAATGATCCGTGACATATCTATGCATTTGCTCATGTGAGGAAATATTGCCAATAAATTTTGGACAATTATGCTAGGGACATTAGATTGTGATTTAGATATTCGGTAAAAACTCAAGAAAACATCGTATAAGAAGCCTTACTTCTACTACACATGATGAAGGACTTTTTGGATAAAATCGAACAGCGCCCCTGTCATGTGAACAATCAACCAGTTAATTTTCTTTTGTGAGTACTAAATGATGTTTCAGCGCAAGATTAATTCAAAATCACAAGAACATTGTGGCTGTAGATTTCAATTATAACTGTAATGACATTGATGAAATTTTAACATGTAACCCAGTGGTACAGATGGTTATGCAGCGTGTGCTTTCGAGCCAAGTTGAAGGCTTGAACAAAATATGTACGACTTCGAATTTTGTTTAATCATGATAGGAGCATAGATAGACAAAGTGTGACTGTTGGCTACCAGACTTCCAGTCCAGGCAGAAGCCACCATGTTTATCACAGGACACTTCAATATCAAGATAGAGAGATTTGCGCAACTGAAACTTTCTTCCCAGCCTTGTATGTCCCGTGTCTCTTATTCTGTGAAGTACTAGAAATTTCGACAAAAAGAAATTAATCATGTTACTACCTCCGGTCCTAATTATAAGAATCAGTTGACTAATTTGAGGAGATTAAGGAAGTAAGTTGAGTTAGTTATTTGTCCTAAATAAGTGTTGTCTTCCTAAAATATCCTTACTAATCAAGTGTATTAACTAGAATTATAATTATTAGAAGGATTATCTGGAAAAAATGAGTAAATATGATAGACAAAGTGGATTGGGTTTTATATTTAAGACCAAAATAAAAGTCAAACAGGATCTTATATTAAGGACCGGGGTAGTATTATTTCTCAGCCAAAAGCCTATCCTTGTAAATTACCTGTTAGGAAGACCTTCCAGTGATCGCCAGTGTATTTTCTGATTTGGAATAGGCTGCAAGAAGGTGAGATAATATTAATAAATAAAATTCCAACTGACATTTAAGATAAAGCAAAGAAGACCTACTAAGAAGTTATAATAGTATTATAATTAGGATGGTGATCATTTCCTGCATATTACGGGCAAGCCAAGAGTATTCGATGTCACGACCGAATGCTTTATACTTCAAGGACCACCTTGACAGGTCAGGTTTATCAGGCAAAACCTGTGAAATGAACTGAACATTTAGCCAATTCAAAAATCATAATATGACATTCAACTTGTACTGTTTCTGGCCGTTTAGTCAAGATTGCTGGTTTCAATATTCAAATTGCAGCAATTCGACCAGAAACAATAATGCACTGATGCTGAACTGATGGCCCACTTCACCCACAAGCCAAAGGGGAATGAATAGGTTTCAAACTAATGAACTGTCTCATTGGAGACGAAAATCCATTAAGCTCGTTAGGTTTCAAAATGTACTACCATCATTACATTTTATTGTCAAGAAAAATAGTAAGATGTGTATTACAGGTAACATGTGGCCAACTTCTCACCAGATCTTTATGCAATCATTACATCTTGATTGCGTCTGTGATTGACTAAAAGAGACTGTGACAGAGCATTGAGATTCGATGTACGCACCGTAACAGAGGAAATAAAGGGCATCCACCGAGGGATGGCTTCACGATCAGAATAAAAATTATAGGCAGCTGAGGCAGGCACATTAACCTCCATCTTAACCCTGCAATTACGACATAGTTATCCTGTCGCCATCAGAAAATGATTAAGCTAGAAATTATACCAAAATCATGAGAGTCAACCCAGGGCCTGCACATTCAAGTTGATGACATGACCGGTCAAATTCCCAAAATATGAAAATCATCCAACATAAATCGGAGAGAAAGGCATTTATTGAGAAAGTATAGATAATGTAAATTACTTCTCATCAGTCCTGATACACTTCCCACTTCCTTATTCTAAATAAAGATATTTATTTTTCTTGATCATGAAACGAGGAATAGATAGAAGAGCGTAAACATTTATCGCATAAAATACAAACGAGAAGAAAAGGGGAAAAAGAGGGAGGGAGATCAAAATTTGTGCGGGAAGAGGAGTTACGTGCAATCCTGCCACTCCATGACAGGGGAAAAGCGCCTGAAGCCATGGAAGGTTGAGGTCCGCGCAAATGACCTGGATGTTAGTCTGAGGAAGCGGTGATTGAGAGAGCGTGGAAACCGAGGAAAAGGTTCTGCAAGAAGGAGTGGGGCCACACAAAACGGAACAGGTGGTTTTAGAAGAGGAGGACAGGTGGCTCAGATATGGAGACCCAGGACTTGAGATCGAAGTTGCCGCAGACATGTTCTTTGAATGCCCTCAGAAATCAAACAACGATGCCGATGCAGATGGATAGTTGGGCTTCTAGTCCACAGCCACAAGCCGGGTCTCAGATTTCCCCCCGCTTCTTGCCTGCTTCTGACTCAGCTATGGTTCAATATTGTTGCCTCATGTTAATCACACGCTCAAATATCTGTTCCTGCACGGCTGTCATAAATTCAGTATCGCCGATCAATCACGTGTCGCCTTATAACCGCTTTAGTAAAACCAGTATTGCCTATTGCATATTGCCTATTGGCGCTGCCCGCGCTCTGTCTCTCTCTTGTTTTATTTATTTATTTATTTTTTTGGTGAAGTGTCTCTCTCTTGTTTTAGGCCAAACTGCCCGCTGCTCTGCCAAAAATAAAATATTGCAACTGGATCGTAAAGCACCCGCATCCGACCAAGTGCCGATCCATCCCGACACCTCGAAGTTGTTAATGGGCTTCTTATGCGATTTGGGCTCGCCCAACCTGATTCGGTTTGCTTTTTACAAAAGCAAAAAGAGAGACTGATTCACTTTTAATCTAGCTCAGAATAAAAATTTTACCAAAATAAAGCTTAGAGCTATAAATAAATAAATTTTGTCCTTTTCTCACCTCATGAAATTGAAGAACGTATTAAAAACATTTTTAAAAGTTGATACACTGGCATTTAGTAATTACCAAAGAAAAAAGCTTTTGTAAGATTATATTATCGAGCAGATTTGATGTGTTTTTAAAAATTGTTTAGTTATGATTTACATCTTGTGTTTAATAAAAATTATTTTTTATATTTATTATTTAAAAAAAAATATATTTAAGAATATTGATTGGCGGAGGGAATTTTTTTTTCCTGATGGATAAATTCGTGTCATTGGAATTGCCACGGCAAATTATGGGCATATTTTTCACATTTGTGTGTGTTCCACAGGTTCAGTCCCACAAAAAAAAAAAAAAAGCGTGTTCCCCTTGTTCGATTTCATTGGATCACCGTCACCGCCAACTACTTTTCGGCAACAGTGGCTTATACTACCTTCAGTCTTAATTATATGATCTTATTTGTAAATTACAAACAAAATTTTATAATTAAGACCGGAAGCAATATATTCTCTCGGTTTGTTATTATAAGAACTTTTTTTAAAAAAAATATTTTACCTTTTTCACGAAACGCTCTGATCTGTATTAAATACTTTTTTCTATGCATGCTATATATTTAATAAGAGTAATAAGAGCGTAGAAATTAACACGAGTTAAGATTTAGTGTAATTAATTAGAAATTAAAAATAATATTAAAAATTATCTGATTTTATGATAAATTTAATGCATTTAAATGTTTTTTATTGTTATATGTAACCCTTATAATCAGAATTAGAGGACCTAGTAGCGTGGCGAGAGGCGCAGCCGAACTTCAGTGTTAAGAGGGGGGGGGGGGGGGTAGCCGAACCAGTAATGATTCATCAGTATTCATCACATGCTTCTCTAACTGTTAACACTCTCTTTTCGTTGACGTGACTCACGATTGAGGCCCAAATCACCTCCCCTGAGGACAATCATTTCGATGGATCAAGTTTGTGGCAATAAGGCAGGTGAGACGATGCTCTATCGGCAGATATTTATTCTCTCCCTCTCCCTCTCACATACGAGAAGAAAGCCAAACCATCTAAATTACATTTTTATTTTTGTGGCACGTATTAAAACAAGTACTCGATAAATTTGGAAGCTTCTCAAAGAGGATACCAAACATCCCAGATTTCAGAATTGCAAGGTTGCACATCTGCTGAGGAACCCGTGGCTGTAATCAATGGAGACCAAGCAGAGGTATGTGTTTCGAAATCA